TGCTTTTTTGTACATAATGTCTATTAAATGTGTTATACCCTAAACAAAGGATTGCCTAAAAGAATTGGAATCCTCGAGGGGCAGAGAAAAACATTATTAAGTTAATTGTCCTCCAGAGAAATTCGTTTTGGTATTTTTTTGGTAGAACCGAATCGAATTCGTAAGGGAAATAGCTTTGCGGGTTAGCGTTCAACTAATGTCCTAATGTCCTAACCTTTGCGAATTGATAATTACTTTCTCTGGCAGATGCTATTCGTTTATAGGACTACTTTCGACACAAGTCATCTGCACAACAAAGTTTCTGAATATAAATAGAACATAGGATTAAAATTGCATCGTTTATAAGATCGATTTTACGTTATTAAACGTAAAGGTCACACACACATTGGTGTTAGAATACCAGAAAATATATTCTCTGTAGCTTACCCGAGTAATAAACATTTATGTAAAACACAGTTAACGGCTTAAAACGCAAAATATATTAGGTACCTATTTTTAATTTATTTTAACCACGACCCGACGTTTCAGAAAGGATAAAGTGAATAAAAATAAGTTACTTATATACTTTGCGTTTTAAACCGATAAAAGCGTTATATTTTAAATATGACTAGTTTATTTCATTACGTGTGTCTTTTGGAATTCTAACTTCGACGCTCCTATCGAAAGATGAAAAGTAAACAAAGTTAAACCTTCGCAAAGTTTTAAAATTTTCGTCAGAAGATTAATAATATTATCTGTACACGAAATCCTACTTAAAATATGCCTACACGTTCCTCGCTGTCAAAACACCCTGTATAAAACGACTAAGTACACAAGGATGTATTAATCCACTCACGTCATATTAAGCAATGGGAAATTTTCACATTTATAATGTAGGTTAGAAATAAAAACTAGTTTCCTTAGGCTACGCCCACACTAGCGCTCCACTGGAAAATCAACGCGTTAGTTTTACACTATATTTAACACCTTGTTTTGCTGATAATATTGTAGTACTTGAGGTAGAATTTTTAATTTGGCTGTTTATTAATTTATGTAATTGCGCATTTATCGCAGCCAATCTTTGTTTTACTTTTTTTACTTTGCCGCAACACTTTCATCTCGCCTCACTCCTAATCTAACTCCCACTCCAACTCTAACTCCCACTCCTATTCCTAAAAAGCCAAAGTAAAAAGTTTCATTGTTCTAGCTTCAAAAACCACCAATTTCCATACAAACTTTCACCTCCTTTTTAACCCCTTACAACCCTTTTTTCGCAATAAAACAGCCTATGTTCTTTCTCAGCGTCTAGACCATCTGTATACTAAATTTCATTCAAATCTGTACAGTAGTTTTGGCGTGAAAGAGTAACAGACAGACAGAGCTACTTTCGCATTTATAATATTAGTAAGGATTAGAATACATGAAGATGATGAAAAAACATTTGTATATTTTGAATGTTAAACAGTATTTATACCTCCGGAAAGTACTAATTGTTTGATTTATTTTAGTCGGGGTACACAGATTTTGTATTTGTACTGTCAGTCTGTAGATTTCTGAGTGTCAAAACCCAAAATAGGTCGACGATCATCTTATTTAAATGCTTTATTGCTAGGCAATTTTCGACTTCCGCCCACTATCCGACGCTTGACTGTCATAAAAATTACTATCGACGCGCACCGCGAGTAACTCTATTATAGACATAGCATAATAATAAGAAGAGTAGTAGCCAATGAAGCAACGTTAGCGATCGCAATGTTACGCTTGAATGCTTTTGTTTAAACATTTCATACTGGCCGTTTGCTGGCCTCTGACATAATTCGTTGGGTTTTTATTTGTTTTACTGACAAATCTTTTAACGCAATATTTTATTTCAACGATTAGTAAAAAAATAATTGCCTAAAAACTTGGCCTTCAAAGGCGCAATTACCAAATATATAAATTACGTTGACGTTGAGCTCGTTGGTGTAATGGTTGTATTTGTATGTCCAACATTTCTCTAATCAATTTGTAGTTTTTAAGAAACATTGGATTTGGTATGGATATTTGGTTACAGTGGGTGGTAGGAATGTCAAAATTCCGTAATACGTAAAAGTATAATTTACACTTTTAATTCTATGTTATAATTAATTTTTATCTCATCGATATTATATAAGAATATAAATGTATAGAATAGTTTAACAGAGAAGCAATATTACGATATTACGAGAACTGAAAAACGTATCTTTTTATTATGCAGAACTTATTGAATAGTACTTGTACTATTATTATTTAAAAATCGAATTAGCAAACTACCTTCTCTACTGTTAAGTGACATATTTAAACAAAGAATAGCCTACAGACAAAAGCAATAGTATCGTATGTTCTGTAAGTGCTAAGTATATTTATGTGGATGCATTAAGAGAGGGAAACGCGATAAGTATAAATCAGGTGCAGTAACGACTAACGTGCAATAAAAGGTCGTATTACGCAACACATCTAGTTACTACCATGCATCAGTACTCACTGTACTATCGTTTACACCCAGATATGCTTTACGTTTTAAACTTTTCTCCTAATTGTTGGGGAGGGGAGTATGATATTACATTTTTTTATGTCTACTTGAATTCTACACTATACTATGTGAATTATTTTAATTAGAAAACGTAAACTATATGTTCACGAATCTTACTACGACTATTTGACTTAGTTATTATGACTACAACGTTTTATATGAAGGGTTAAATGTAATAATTTGTTTGAATTAAATAAGTTAAAAAAGACAAAAAAAATAATATCCTTTAAAAATCAATTTTGTTTTATGTTTCAATTTGTTGTCAAAGATGTTAAGTACTTTGAGCTCCAAAACTGGACTTTAAAAGCACTAGAAACTAAAAAATGTGCTAGATCTATGACCCTTTTTATATAACTATTACAGTAGCTTACACAAGTATTAAACAACCTCATTATGTTGAAACGCAAACTATACAAGTCCAAGAATTTTTAACAAGTCCCCTGTGACCACGGTTGAAATGAGGCAGCTGAAACGTCATGTGTATCTTGGGACTCTCAACAGAAGCAGCAGAATATAACTTATAAGCAAGACTAATGCTGTAACGCGTTACGTAACGATTACCTTCCATAACAGGTTATTACTATTTGAAAACTTTAATATTTTTCACACGCTATTGCTCAAGATGGCATTATAAAAAATAAAAATAGATTGTAAATTTTAAAAAAATACGCCTCTATCAGGACTTGAGCTGCATCCACGGCGTTGCGTGCTCTTATTTTAACCATCTCAGTAACTCTATTGGTCTATATACCAAACTAAAGACAAAATTAATAGATAAAATCGGTACTTGTAAATTTGGAATGACAGGTAGTTTTTCATCTCGTTAAAGTTATGTTAAGAAGGGAACATTACACAAGACATCGCGTCATCGCTATGCACTACTGCATATTTCCGCTCTAGCCAATCTATACAGAGAGAATGATTATAAACAGTAGGTTCTCAATTATATCTTATACATAGATTTTGTATGTTTCGCGAATAACTTAGACGTGTACAAACCAATTTTGATATTTTGTTTGTTTAAAAATTAAGAAGAATAATTTTTGAAATCTGAAGCACATGAAGGCACTATATAATTAAATATTCGAAAAAACTTTCGGTAGGACCCGGTAGCTCAATTGGGAGAGCAACAGCACGGAACGCTGACGATGCCATTTTAAGTCCTGCCCGAGTCGAAAATATTTCAAATTATTTTAGATTTTTTAAATTATTGAAATCTTTAATATTTTTCACATGTTATTGCACATGAAGGCACTATATAATTAAAAATTCGAAAAAAAATTCGGTAGGACTCGGTAGCTCAATTGGGAGAGCAACAGCACGGAACGCTGACGATGCCGGTTCAAGTCCTGCCCGAGTCGCAAATGTATTTTTTGCTCTTTACCTTTGAAAGCCGAAGTTATATATATAAATAATAAATAAAATTATTTTTAATTTGTTATAATTCTATGTATAAACTGTCATTTCCCATATGCTAAGTCTTGGTACGATACACTTTTTTTATACTAATTAAAGGCCGATGACCGATTTTTTGTTTATAGTATAGTAGTATATATTTTGATTAAACATTATACATTGAAGTTCCTGAGGTCGGGGCTTCAACCCCGCTCAAATTTTACGAGAGTTTTACTAAAAAACTGTTATATATTCTCTATCCCTATCATCTTAACGATATCTAATACTGAAAAACTGGTACACTAAACCTTAAAAATTTATTTCTCTGAGACTAATTATTTATAAGGCATTATAATATAAATATAAAATTATATCCAACAGCCTAATTCAGTTACTTAAGTATGTGGCCCTGGGTTCGAATTTACGCCCAAAATTATATTACTTACTTGTAAATAAACTGGATCACTGATATATACACAAAACGGTGTTTGCCCCAAGCCACATATAAAATTACTATAGCGTAATTAACCAAATAGTTTGAAGGATACTTTTGATAAGATTATTACCTCTTCTTGTAAACTCCATCAATAATAAACGTTATTTATATGCAAAGAATATTCCACAGTAAGGATTGCTAATACTTTAAGAATGAGCCATAATACGGTTAAACCGAATTTCGGCTGCTTGAACCGAAGTTCGGCCGAAGTTAAGGCCGAAGGTTAGTTAATTTTTAGTTATTTACGCATGGCTAGTTAATTCCGTCCAGGTCAGGAACCACCGTCCACAGATGGATAAGACATTATGTTTAATCGGTTTCGGTTCTGTAGATTTCCGAATAACCAAAGCCGAAATAGGACAGCGCATCTTGTAGATGTCATAGGGCTGGGACATGTCACCTACCAACAGTTGAATCCCATCTTGCCTGTCCTCCACCATCATAACAAGGTATACCACTTTAGCCTATCATTACCGACGTTACCTGTTTGCGGTGGACCTTATTGCACATCCATCCCCGTAGGTCTATGATTGCGTGTTATTTCCACTATCAGTTTAGTCTGTCGAGGGCCTTACTAAAATGTGGTGGCTACTGCTTTGTGTCGTGAGTGTTTTGGCTCAAGATGGGGATAATCAGACGACCGGTAAATTGAAAATCATCATTATCATCTCATATCATAAAACATGGTCAGCTATGTTCTATCTTTCGTAAAAACGGCTGAACCCATTTGAATGAAATTTTGCTAATAGGTTAAAAAAGGCCTCATGATACTCTTTACAAGATATGTACACCAATAGTGTAACTACTGAAATCCCGATGTTCCCAGTGAAATTTGCCAATCGATTTTATATACAGTCTATAGACTTTTTACCCGATGAAACTGAAATACGGTTTCCGGGGATCCGAAATTTAATATTGCAAGTCACCGATAATAATAACAATTCTCGCTTACACTTTTATCAAACTTATTATCCAGTAAGAGATTCTTAACGCATTATTTACACTTTATCAGTTAATAATCGTGTTACTCATTAAGAATTTTATAAATTACTATGTTTTATTGAAAATAAAATTAATTAAACTTTACAATATTTATATAATAAACAATACACAGAATTGTATTATACAATAATCGACCTATGACAATAATTACATTTTAATAATGTATTTTATATTAATGATCGTTCGTTTATTGTTCTCTGACATAAACATATGCAATGACGTAGAACGCCAGTAAAGGTTTTACATTATAATTAATATTACATTCATTAATTAAAAAAAATCGGTTAAATCATCATATAATGTTTATTCGATCATAGTTTATTTTATAATATAGTATGATGTTATTATTACGAAATTAATTTATAAATTTAGAATGTTAACGACGTTAAACGCATAGAATTAAGATTCCAATTTTTAATTTTTATTAAAAATATAACATAAATAATAATAAAAAAATTGACGTAAAATTTTTATACTCTCCTTAATTCTTTTTAGGTATTTTCCTAGGTAAGCTATAATAGAATTTGGGTCTAGTCATTTCTAGACATGATGAAAGGGCACCTTACTTAGTGGCGCTGTTGAAACGTAAAACAGGATAGACAACTAGATCCAAGCTTACGTAAAAGTCTTTCCACTGTCGCATTTCCTAACTTCAAGGAATTTATAGTTTTACACCTGTCCGTTATTCGACACTGGTCTCGTTCTGGTTACCCGAGTCTTATAATATCAAATCTGTCTCTAAAAATACGTACTAGACACTCACGCTAAATTTTAATTTTTACTTGACATGTGAAATCATAAATCTGTCTTTTAAAGGATTGAATAAAATTGCAAAAGATTTTTATCTGGTATTAAAAGCAAAAATGTTTATAAACCATTTGAATCACACGTAGACGAATGCCGTAATATTTCAAATCATTCCTTATTCTTATCTAAACTACGACACAATTCTAAAGAAGTTTTACAGGAGTCAAGGTCATGGAGGTACTTAATAAATTTAACGATTTGAACCGTTTGAAATAGTTTTATTTCAAGTTTACCCGCTGTAAGTTACAAACATAATTACACAGTTAACTAATCAATGTAATTATACTTTTAATTTGGGCAAAATAAATACCTTTTTGGATTACTTAAGGTACTAAGTTTTATCATAGCAAAATTAGTTGACAAATGAAAAACGTGTATCTACCTTGCATTTCATAATAAACAATAAGGCTTTTCCATTGTTAAAGTGTACGCATGCGTTCAAGGAATGTATATAATATACATTATTATACGTCCGAGGAACACATAAAATGTTAAAATGTCATACCAAAGTAATATTATAATAATTTGAGCGAACTACAACATAACGTTTCGCAATTTCGTTGCATTCGGCTGCACTCGACTATCTTACTAATAGTTGCATTTCCGATATAACCTGTTATTTGGCGTTATGATACCACAGTTTATGAAATATCAGTTGTCCATACTTTGAAATTATTATGAGGTTCTGGTAAATAGTGTCTGTAGTTTACGTGCAATAGTTAACGCGATACATGTTAGATTAAAACAATGTAAATAAAACACTTTAACGATTTAAAACGCGATATATTAGTTACAGTTATTTGAAAATGATTTTGAACTTCGACCTGACGTTTTGGATGCTTTACAGTATGAGCAGGTGAATTTGATCCCTATTAATATTTGAATGTGTGATTTTTTAAAAATTTACTCTCTGACTTTTTATCCTTGTTTATAAAAAAAAATTTTTAAACTTTATGACATGCCGAATAACGAATTCGTTATTCGACGGTCGAAAACATGTAAGTTAGGTGGAAATAGATTGTCCACGAATTTTGTTGGCGACTTTTTTGTTCTATATGAAACCAACAAATATTGCTTCTGGTCATCACGAGTAGTACACAATTAAATAAAACACATTATTAGCGCTTGCAAACAAACCCTTCAGCTTTATAATATTAGTATAGATAACGTACGATATAGATAGCTTTATTTAGTATCTAAGAGTTATTTCTTACGTTCAATTATTTGATCTAGATTATCTAATGCTTTTAGAACTTCGAGAAGTTTTCGATTACCAGTCAATGCCAGCTCTGTCAGAATTGGACGACTACGACAAATGTTTGAAAGACCCCGAAGCCATCTACTGCATAGTTGATATGGAACTATTAGAAGATGACACTCCGTTATACCAGTATATTAAGGTAAATATATTATTTGTTATAACGTAAGAATACGGAGTATGTTAGGAGGCAAGTTTTATATTTTAATTTTCTCACTGACTTAAGAGAATGTGAAATATTCCAGCCATATAACATCTAACAGAGATGCCCTGTCGACCTATTTTGGCTTTGAACATTATGAAATCCACAGACTGAAAACGGAAGTAGATTAAAATTTACGTCTTTTTTATTTGTGGAGAGTAGGTCGTGTCCAATGATTTAATACATAGATTTATTAATTATATAGATTATTTAAATAAAACACTTTAACGGTTTAAAACGCGATATATTAGTTAATTTTTCCAGCCCGTATAGGTTAATGAAATACTGTCTATACACAGTATTTATATAGATTATTTCAGGCAAAACCCAAGTTATTTAAGAAAAAATATTAAATGGCTAAAATGAACTCGTATGGGGATTGAACCCACGACCTGTTGATTTATATGGCCTTACAATACCGACATTATACCCACAAGCCCGATAATTAAATAAATATGTAAATGTGTATTTTTACTTTAAAGAAAAATATAACTTTCACGATATTATTTAAATACTGTTAATAGAACTCACTAAATGTCCGTGTCAGTTCTGTACGAACCGAGCTAGTATAACCAATCCATATAAAAAAAACAGATGGCGCTTGCTTAGTTTTTTAGTCATTTGACATTAGGGACTAACTAGTCTGAAAAGCTCTTATATATTTCGTATTTTAAATCGTTACAAATGATTTATTTTAATCTTCCGTTTCTTGTTGAATCTAATTATATTTTATTCTTCCTTAACAGAACTTTTCATCCCTCTACTATAGAAATTACAAACACTCCAAGCTTCACCGCGGTGTTTGCGGCTCCCAGCATTGTGGATTGAATATTTCCCACGCGAACGTGACGGATCTTACCGTGGACACCTTAAGGGAATGTTTCAATGCAACGATACACAAGGGCTACGGGTTACAAGTGAGTATTGAAAACAGATATGTTTTGTTTATAGATCTCGCTGTCACGGGAATACAAATTATATTTGTAGATGTCCTAGATTCAAATTTGCAGACTATTTTGAAATACAAAGTTTACGAATACTAAAAAATTATATATCATCAATAAAACTGAATTGTATTAAATTTTCTGACACTATTTATTATTACAGTAAAGTTTACCTGTACTCCAAATCATTATAATACTATTAAAACTAATAAAAATCTATTTCGGTCAAATTTAAAGAAGCTTAATTTTAAATAGTTCATAGCTCATAGCGCAAAACTATTATAGATTCGTAGTATTCGTAGTTATCGATGTTTGCAATTCATTACTGTATTAATACTATATTACTGTATCAATCAATGTTTTGTTAATTAGAAAGTGAATACCTACGTCTAAACTACTCGGCATAAATTAATGAAATTTTGCATATATGTTCAGAACTTGCCAAGCCAATATGGCTATTCAAAAACGGGTTATGGTGGCATATAGTGACGCGTATAATAATGAGAATTTTTACTAAGTAAAATGAAGGTATTACTTTTATTCATTAGGTGGAGTCGTTATCTGTGCGTTACTGCAAGACCCAAAAAGACAGACTACCAGTGGACTCTCTAGACATTGTCATCGGTCTTCTGATTCTTCTTCTTCTTTTCGTCAACTTGGGCTGTTCTGGCTACTACTTTTTCTGTCCACCTGAGGGACACGGTAAGTGCTGTATATTCTAATAAGTGGTAAAAGAAAGCAATTTCGACAGATTAAAACTTGATAGTGTTTAGATGGTAGCATAGGAAACTATTGTTGTTTTATTAATAGGTAATGTTATTTCAAATAGTACTATTTCTTTATAATTTGTTAATAACATTGCATAAACATGCCTTCGTCTGTAAGAAGCAAAAAACAGAATTTTGATCACACCACATTGATACGGGCGCGTAAAAACATCAATCATTGTAATAGACAGAAATATCTCCATGCCGAATCTGGCTTTCACATATGTCAACTACGATGCGCCGTCGACCTATTTTACATCGCATATTGGGAATCTACGGAGTGTAGTTGAATCGTGTATCCCACATTTCAAGGCTTTTCCAGTTACGATACGTCGTAAACCGTGCAGAATTTCGATATTCTGACCTACTATGTATTAACAGATTAATGTATATATTTTTATGCACTGAGTTTAATCTTAAATACTATTTTAGATTCACTGTTTACACCTTAGAGTTAAACAGTCTGTTTTTTATATTTATTATAGTCCTAATAACAAAAATAAACGTGTAGAGCATTTTTGTGTAAAGGTTTACTAAACAAATTATAATCTGGTGGGAAAATGGATTTTAACTGAGCACAATATTGGGAGCGAGGAATAGCAAAAACATTGTAGAATACAAATAAATCAATAAAAAATATTTAGATTCGTCAAAAAAATATTAAATAATATGTTTGTCTGTCCGTTCGTCATTATTCTACAGAGTGTTCAAAAGAGCAACATAACCGAGAAGAACACCCAACTTAAGGAGCAATTCATATCACTGCCAGGTAGCCCTGTCATTAAAGAAGTCTTTTAAACAATAATACGCCTTTGAGACAATCTAAATTTGACTTTTTTGAACTTATTTATTAATTTTGAAACCTCAACTGGCAATGTATTGTATTGTATTGTACATACGAATACAATAATAAGAACTAAGAGTTACATAACTGAATTAAATGCAGTGAAAAACGTAAAATTATCCTTTAGTGCTTAATATAACCTCTATCAAGGATCGCGTGTCAATGTGGTGTAAGCTTATCTCAACTCCCAAATCAATTTGTTAATGACTTGCTGACTATTTAATGAGATTCTATATATTCCCATGTGAATTACCGACTTCAAAGTATTTAATAATTCTGCTGGCGTTGACATGGGTCTGCAAGTTGGAAGGCAGAAACCCAGCAAGACCAGTATTATTTACTAACTAAATAATCACTACGTATTTTGTGTATATGTGTGTGAGAAAAATGTTCCTGATTTATTTATTTGATATTTTATAGGTGTCTTTAGTAGTTTAGTTATAAGTAATTTTTTACTTCTTTTGCTAAATAAATATATAATTAAATAAAAGCTTACGAGTTTTCTTCACTTTAAATCTATATCAGATAATTTATATATACTGTATTAGCTTGTTATTGAAATTAAATTATGGTTGTGATGTCTTTAAAATCCAAATTTATTGTATGTTGCAGGAAATAGATACATGTTGGCGTTCTGTGTTCAAAAGAATTGGAAGGCGTTAAAATATGGTGGGAGCGCTGATGGAGGAATATTCAAGTGCTTTCAAGCTATGAGGTAAATAATAACAAAGGAAATGAACGATATGAAAGGGTACAATCATAGTATCTTCTAATTAAAAAATATTAATGTTAATTTCACTAAAATATAAATTTAATGCAAAATTTAAAAATAGGACAAAAGGAATTGCATTTTGGCATTTTGAGAAAAAAATATGTCGAAAAGTAACAGTAAACAATTCCGACACTTGCGTAGTCGTTCATATATTTTTAAATTTGTTGGTTCACTTTTAATTATGTAAAAGCAAACCAATGGTTTGCGGGTTTCCCACTAAGTCCCACATTTTCATCAATCATTTCATGATTTTTATACACATCGTTATGCTATTTATAAAATTTGAAAATCGAATGGGCAATTAAATACAAGTCACGAAAACCCGTCAACAAATGGAAGAATTGTAGTGTTTATTCACGTTTCATTTTCAGTCTGTAAATCTCAGAATATCTAAAGCCAAAATAGATAGCGCTGAATTAGATGTTATAGGTCATTTAACTTCCAATAAGCAAATGCTAATAAAAGGGCGACAGCTTTACTGATAATTTAAATACCTAATTATTTAATTATATACGTTAATAAGATATCAAAATAGGTGATAACGCATCTTGTGTAGATGTTTTATGTCTGTGGTATTTCAACAACTCTATCATTAAAAAAAATTATATAAAAAAAATGGGGGATCCCCAGACTATGATTCGTCATACAATAGCCTCAAATATAAACAGGAATCCTTGAAATATCACTGTCGTTAATAGGCCATCATTGACATTGATACAGGGTCCCCGAAAGAAAATAAATGGTATTATTGACATATTGAGAGACGTAATCATGATTTATTTCCCCGTCGGACATTCTGTGGACTGATCTAAATTTAACTACAGACTGTATTGATTCTACAGAAATATTCTTGCTCTCTTGTGCTAATAATGTTAATGGTATAAAAAGTTTTAATAGTACATTTTGATTTTAAAGATGAACTAACAATATCGTTGTCCTTAAATAATGTCTGTTGTTTACGCGAGTAGTACGTACATTTAAGTAAAACACTTTAACGGTTTAAAATTATTAGGTATTTGGTAAAATTATTTTAACTATGGCCCAACATTTCGGATGCGGTTTTAAACCAGCAAAGTGTCTTATTTAAATCTCTAATTCTTAGTTCCATGTGTCTGTTAAGCAATATATATTACTTTGTCTGTAGATTTTGAATTAAATAAAAAGCGCGATGAAGCAATAGAATCGAAAATGTTATATTTCCGCCTTACGATTAATACAAATTAAAAATCGATTTTAAATTATACGACACGGGCAGGACTTGAACCGGCATCTACAGCGTTCCGTACTGTTACTGTAACCAATTGAGATACCGTGTCCTACACGTCATTGCCGATTTTTTCAACCTATTAATACATGCACATCTAGCGCAATCATTACAAACACAGTCTTTGTCATATAAACATGTAAAACCAACGTAAATAAAAGTTAAAAATAATAATTGTTTATCTATGTCCATAGACAAATGTTTGTTTGTTGTTTTTTATGGCAGAGGAGATTAAACTATATAATATCTAAACAAGATGCGTTTTACCTATCTTGGCTTTGGGCATTTGGAAAATCACCGACATTAAACTTCACGGCTTTGTCACCTGTGAACGTTCGTGACGTAATCCGTGGCGAAAGCTAGTAAAATATAATTCAAGACATGCACAATTAATACTTAAGATGTTATATTAAAAAACTATGCTTTAACCTCGCCCATTCGAGATAAGGATAAGCTGTGGTACACTGGGGCTTATCTTACCGTACACAATAAGAACTTGTGTAACTCAGACCGAGCACTAATCGCTTAGTTCCCAAAGTTTGCGAGTATGTTGCAACCCTAATGTGTAACGAACAACGATTAAAACTAAGTAGCATTGTATAGCCTACACTATATTGTTTTGTACTCAGTTTAGCTCTATGTTTATACTTAAAGAACACTCCAATACTTTACCGTACATATTTAAGTTGACAGATTGGAAGGAGTACTACACGAATTGTAATTGTCATTTGGTATCAGACTATTTTATTTTTTTGAGTTCACTTGATGATAGGTGAAATACGCCGGCTTATAGCATCTAAACAAGAAGCGCTGTTGACTTATTTTGGCTTTTGATATTTGGAAATCCAGACTGCAACCGAAACGCGACTAAACTTAACGGCTTATTCCTCTGTAAGTGGTTCGTGACCAGGGCGGAATTTCGATCCCTAGCACCCATTTAATATCCAGATTTTCAGATGAAGTCTAACATGGTTTAGAAAAATTATAAATTGAAAAGTTAGACCCGGTGGGCATCGAGCCCACGAACTTAATTCTGTACTGTTGAATTATCATCCCGTATGCATTTATAAAGCGTTCTATCAAAGATCTATATATGTCTGAGTGTGTTATAAAAATCTATTCAGTTAAAATCATTGTTACAGATTCTATACCATGGCTATGATCCTGGGATTACACTCAATGATTTTTATTGGCTACGGCTACACCGAAAATCCAGAATTCATAGAGAACGTAAGTAAATGGTTATGTATTATAAATATAAATATTTATCGCCACAAGTAATAAAATAGTGAAAGATAAAATGATAAGAATAAATATGTTTCATACGGAAAAACGACGGAAATTACTCACCTTTTTTCTTCATGAAAACTCGTGTATAGCCCAAAATTCAGCAATAAAGGAGGTAGCTACATACATTTTTGACAAATTTGTTTAAGTACCTTTGAAATTTGTTTAGACATCTAGTCAAGTCCCGTAACACTGTCTGTAGTTTACGCGAGTAGTACACATTTAAATAAAACTCTTTAACGGTTTAAAACGAGATATATATTAGTTAAACGTATTTGAAAACTATTTTAACCGCGGTCCGCTGTTTCGCAGGCTTGCAGCAACACCGGTCACAGGGATAAACGTTGGCCAGTTAAAGTAATTTTCAAATAAATGTAACTTATATATATTGCATTTGAAACCGTTGAAGTGTTTAATTTAAATAAAGAAGGTACCTGCACAGTTAACATGACAGATTTTCCGAATTTTGCCAAAGTATCTTTTGTTGAGACATCTAGTCAAGTCCCCTAAGTCAAAAAAACGTGCTAGCCAGAAATAGAATTTGATAAATTAAACTTTGGTTAACTCTAAGTTAAATTTTCTGAGAGTTCTTTTTATTTTAACCACTCAACTGTGACAATATAACAAATAATTATAGCACAATCTCGGGATTACACAACTAGGCCTACCGACTACCGACGTTGCGCAGCGGGTCGGACGTAATAACCTTAAATATTGTCTATAGTTTACGTGAGTAGTACAAATTTAAATAAAACACTTTAGAGGGTTAAAAAACGCAGAATATATAAGTTAAACTTTTTTTGAAATTTATGTTCAACAACTGCTAGACGTTTCGGATCGGTTCCGAAAACGACCTATAATTTAAAATTATGACAGTTTCAATTCTTGATATTGAATTTCCATAATCTTTAGTAAGCAAGTAGACGCTATAGTTACAAATGCGTTCACTAAAATAGGTGCAATGTTTAAAGCGCTAGATTGTATACGATATATAATGACTCTTTTGATTTCGCCATCTTTGAGTAACAACGACTTGAGTACAAGCTAATTAACCTTATAAGTGCCTGCCTGTAAATGAACTTATCAAAATTTTAGCTATACAGTGGATGACCTTATCCATATTAAGTTTAGCCTTATTAATTCTTATTACTATACTATGGAAGGGCTATTTTATTAAATTAAAATACACAACCACTTAAAAATTATTTCACAAATATTTCTATAACTATATAAAAATATTTAAATGGGACACTTTAACGGGTTAAAACGCGATTTCTAGACGTGGTCACGGGGAGACTTCCTCCCCGTGATCACGTCTGCATATCACGTACAAAGTACGAAACGTCGGGCCGTAGTAAAAAATAAGTTTTACTAATATACCGCGTTTTAAACCGTTAAAGTTTTTTATTTAAATGTGCACTACTCGCGTACACTACAGACAGTATATAAAAAATATTTACTAATACATAACATATTCAAATAGTTTATATTGTATTCATTCAATTGATTTATTCAAAAGATGTTGCCGACAACGATGGTTTTATATGTCAATAAAGAATTGCCGATTGTCACTTTAGGCCGTTCGTGGGAAATTACGCACAATTTTTGAACACAAAACAAATATATCCAATTTTTACAGCCATTAGGGATATGAAAAGATACATTTTACGTATATGAATATTGAAATACGAAAAATATTTAAGTATAATAAGTAAGTCCTAATAGTAACTCTTTGTATGTATTTTAACATATAAGTAAAACAACATTGTCTTTCTAGTTACTGTTTATCAAATTCTAATAGGCAGATAGAAGACAGAATAATCAATACTATAAAAAGCTAGACAGTTACATCTGATCATTTATCCGTAAATAAAAGCGGACTCAGAAGTGTGGTCGGCCGTTTTTGTAAAACATATAAAAATATTATGTATCTCTCATTTTGAAGTTTCGGTCTTAAATAACTGGCGTAGACTTGAAATAATTTTCTCGAACAATGTCACGAGCAGAAATTGAACCTTTGTTGCGCCGCGTATGAATTTCCTAAGGGACATCTGTCAAAATGGATCGAGACGGCTCTGCCACAGATATACATCAGTCTTTTATAGCAACTAGGGAATTTCGCTGAACTTTTTTATGTCGAGATAGCGGAATAGTAAAACACTGATGGGCCTTTTAAGGCTTTGATTAAAGCTGTAAAATAGTATCTTACAGATTTGGAGTTCTGTTAAGACCATTTTAGAAGTTTCAGGAGATTTTTATATCCACTGACAAGTCTTCTCCAATCTTTTCTTCTCTGTTAAATGTCACTAACGCCATTTCTCTTATGTTTTCGTTTTTTCCTTTCAGAGGTACTGTAATATGTAACTGTTTGAAAAGTAAATGTTATTTTTAAAGTTTATGACTATGATTATGAAAGGCGACATAACCAAACAGAATGAGTGTTGAATTATATAGGTATTTAATTTTCTAATATGTATTCATCATATATAATTATGTATTCATCTATATAGGCTGTAAAATAATATTATACATAAATTTAAAGTTATACGGGCGTCATTCTCCACAAATTTCTTTATTTATATGTAAGGGAGGATTCAATTTTATAGAACCAACCGTACATTGCAAATTTCAAAAACATTATTATAACACTATAATTGAACGATAACTTTATGAAGGATCCCATTCTAACAAGAAGATGATGTCGACGTTTGCCAGTTTTTTTTGCGCTCTTGATTTGAGCTAGGTAGTAAATGTAAGCTTAGAGTCTTTTCTTTTAACTATGTTGACGTTCATAGTGCACAGAGTAGTACATGAATAATTTTCGCGTCCGTACATGCTTCAAGAACGAATAAAATATTATAATCTACAACGCTATTTCAAAAGAGATAAATAGAAAATAACTTGAAATTTTATTTCATAAAAATTTGATGTAAAAAGATCTTTGTATTAATGACTAGTTCACTATACTTTTAATACCTAATTTTGCATATAATTTGGGCAAAGCAAATCATGGAGGGGAATCAACATTTCGCAAAAGGCATGCACTAGCAAGGGTCATTGACTTTACAATCACCTAGGCCATTCACCTGAGGCGAATACCGATTTTATAATTGTTTACAACATAATGATTTATTCTGTCAATATTTTTATGGTACAAAAAAGTTTTCTTTTAAATGATTGCGATTTTTTTACTTCACAACGTATTATTTAAAATACGTAATACAAAATACTTAATAAACACACATTCTTAGTTAAGGTATAAAACTATATTTCACATACAACTTACTTATAATTAGACAAGAGTTTTAGCCTCTGCGTACTAGGACAAAGGTAGAAATAAAAAAATACGATTATATTAAATACTCTTTACATGCCTTCCTTTAAAATTTCATTTTGTATATTTAACGACAAAGAATAATTTTCAAAATAAAACACCTTTGACGGTGTAAAACGCGGAATGTATTAGTTAACTGGATTAAATGTCCTACTGACTACGGAGAATAACACATAATAATATCATTTTTAAAAGCATCAACAGCTTTTGTGTAATCTTACATATTTTTATTTTGTAAGTGTTTTTATAATAGATCATGTAAATAAAGTTATAAATGATATTTCATACTATTTAACTGCATTTGATAGCGCATATGGAATGTGAAAATTTTAAAACCCAACATGAAAATATCGTTTCAAATAACTGCCGCGTTTAACGAAAAGTGCGGTTATCACGAGTGATTTAATCCGTACACAACCGCTCTGTTTTAATTTGTGGCTTCCATGATGATGCTAAAACATTCGATATTTCAGTAAATGTGAATTTGGTATGCATGGCAAACAATGTACCTGGAATTTACACTATTCTACGGGGAGATACAGTCTCCGCGTCACATATATCGCGTTTTAAACCGTTGAAGTGTTTTATTTAAATGTGTACTCGAGCAATCAAGGATTTTGCCTGATGATGCCGTCCGCTCGTGATGGCGAAACATCAAGAACTTCTTTTCGCTCACGTCGACCGAACAGCCCGAAAAAAAATGATATGATAAAATGTAAAAATTTTCATACAGACTGTAAGAGCTTCAACACATTAGTTCGAGTCAAGTTTAGCTATTACATATATATATTTTATTAATGGTATGCATTCAATAAATTCTCATAGAGCATTCTTTTGGAGTATGGTTTACGGCGAAGAATTATTTTTCATATTGTTATTGCTTGTAATGCTTGTAATTTTCAGTCTTACGACGATTTCTTCAAATCCCTTCTATTCAACGCGCGCATCATAGTGCAAATCTTCTTCGTCATGGGAGGTTTTCTGATGGCGTACAAGATGCTGACCTACGCGGAAACCCATCAGTTCAGCCTGAAGACCGTTCCTATGGCTATTGTCAATCGATGGCTGAGGTAGGATAAGTAAAATCACTATAAGTTGTCAATATTGCTCTTGCTGCTGCGGCCTCAGTCGTACTTTCATACCGAAAAACGTCACCATTATTTTGTACCTAACAAAACGCTATTTCGACTCCTTGAATAGTTCGTTAAAAAAACACGTCATAAAGTTTTAAGATACTCCGTCTAAAAATGAACAATACTTTTAAAAATCTAAGCAAGAGGTTTTAGGTCAAGAAAGTGGTCACTATTTTATGAATAAAATTAACTTTGGAAAAATATAACAAATAAACATTTAATTCTTTAATTTAATTAATTTTGATAATAAATTACAACCATTTATCTGTAACAAAAATACAAAAATATTAATTTACTTTATTAGTAATACTGGCTGTTTTTGTACCTTTGCCTAAAAAAAACGCAAGTAAATTTTTTTATAACTGCTTTAACAATTAATTAAAAATTTATTTGTTTAACTAAGAGTTTTAATTTCCTCGTAAATATGTTATAAAACGTCGTATGACATATGTGCGCTTTGAAAATTACAGCCTCTGCTTTCTTATAGCCGTCGCCGATGGCTCGGCCTAGTAATATCGCCTCGTTTGTAATTTTCAACTTGCCGCACTTATATCATAATGTACTATTACAGGTTAATGCCGGCTGTCCTCGTGGTCATGGGTTTAGCGATGACCTGGGTTCCACATATGGGTTCCGGACCCATGTGGGACGCTGTGGTGAAGCGTGAGAGGGAGATGTGCCGAATGAACTGGTGGCAACTAGTAATCTTAATGCCTAATCTCTTTCCTTTTGAATATCTATGTTTACCGCAAGCTTGGTAAGTAATTATAAAACTTTAAATTTAATACTGTCTTTAGTTTACGCGCATGGTACAAATTAAAATAAAACAACCAACTACGGTGGCACAGATGGCGCTAGCGTAGCAGATTCTACTTAGACATTAGAGTCACCCTCTATCTTTCGACTCCCCGTCAACTCGTGTAAAACCCTCGCTGTAAAGCGCTCGAAACGTCAGGTCGTAGTTACAATAATTTCTAAATAAGTTTACTATATATCGCGTTTATAACAGTTAAAATGTTTTATTTAAATTTTATAAAGTTATATCTAGTATAGTCTAGTCTAGTATTTTGATCCGGATGTAAGTACCCTAAATGTGAAAATAAGTGTCGCAGCGATGTTTTTTTATTAGTTGACTTATGTTTTAATATTTACTTACTATTACTATAAAATTTTATTATATTTAGTACTTTTCGATTTATACATATCACTAACACATATCTTTACAAACTAATCAATCATGTAAATAAAAAAAGATATAGTACTACAATTTGCTTTGTAAGTTATTGAAAGTTAATATTCAATGTTTAAGTTACGAACAACATTTATTTATTTCATCTTTATTACTTATAATTACCACATAAACTACAAAAGATATCTTAAGTCCTAACTTATAAATAAAAGGCGGCCTTATCGCTAAGCAGCAAACTCTTCCAGGCATTTACCAATACTGTTTTACTTAGATATTTCGATTAAATTAACCAGGTTCGGATATGACGTAGACATGAAATCATGCTACAAACCAATCACAATATACCATCTTATCTTTAGACTATAGCAATTAAACCACATACTAGGTAACCTTTAAAGCTAAATCAAGAACATATTTCTCAAGCAATATAATATTGTTCTAAATTGCGTTAACGCCAACCATTAATCTGAGAACACACATTTAATTTCGTAATTGTATTTCATGTCAAACAAACCTTGTAGATTTTAAGACATTATAATATTTGGTTAACATTCACACTTGAATACTAGTTAATAGTATTACATGTGTGAATATTGATATAAGATTTTGAAATAATTAACTATTCGAATTTAAATACTGTCTATAGTTTACGCGAGTAGTACACATTTAAAAAAAACACTTTAACGGCTTAAAACGTGATATATTAGTTAAACTTATTTGAAAAGGATTTTTAACTTCGGCCTGACGTTTCGGATGCTTTGCAGCAGCCGTGGTCACGGGGAGACATACTATACACTGGGAGACATAATCGAATATACTTTTACTAATGTAAAGACTTCACTTTTTATGACTATCTACACTATATATATGTTCGAACACGCTAATCCCAGAAACTATAGCTTCGAATTACAAAATGATTTTTGTGTTGGTTAGAACATTTATCGAGGAAGGTTATAGGCTAAAAACAATGCGCTGGGACCAATAGGAGCAAAGCAACATCGTCAAATTTGAAAAAAAACGGGGAAAGTTATTCATCTGTGTAGGTTTCCGAAACAACTGTTCTACGCGGACGAAGTCGCCAATACAGCTATTAAATAATAAAACTTTAACTAAAACTTAATTTGTGTTAATTTAATAGGACATTATGAAATATATACAGGTACTTGGGAACAGACACGCAACTATTTCTGATGACGATGATAGTTATGTTAATCATCTGGCGGTGGCCGAGGTCCGGAGTTCCGGTCCTGTCACTTGTAATGGTAGTGAGTCTACTGATTCCGTTCTTGCAGAGCTACTTAATGGAATTGCTCCCGATTAGAGTTAGCATTTTCCCGGAGTGAGTATTATACTTTTGTGGATAAGGAATGAGTAAGTCTTTATAGCTTCATTTATAGAGTAAAGCAGTACGCTCATAGTGTATATTTAAAACCCCCCTTTTTTATCTTAAAATTATAAGTTATATGAAGTCTCAAACGCGGTCACTTGTGAAAATTCTAACAATTTAAAAATCATTCTGTCTGTTAATGTTATTTAAACGAAGCATAGACAAAGTTGTCGCCATATTATAAACAAAAATAGGTCGTCCAGATGCACTCATCTAGGTAACAACGACGGGAGTATTTCACCAAACTTACCTCCTTATCTGTCCTCCTCTATCAAAAAATTATTTATTGAAAAAGGAAGATCATCAAAATACCCCCAATTTCTAAAGTGACTTAAGCACCACCACTTGATCATAGTTTGGAATTATTTCAGATCAATTCGTAACATATTTGGCTTCAATGACACCTTCTACCACGCCTATGTATCAGCGCAAGGCAACTGGGCTGGCTACCACCTCGGTGTTCTGACAGCCTGGTTCTATCATCGAGCACAGAATAATAAATGGAATCTTGGCGAGTCCTGGGTAAGTTACAGACAAGTCTATATAGAAATAACAACAATAACACATAGATGACGTTGTTGTTATTTCACTAAATGATATTAAATTATTAACGGACCGACTCTTTTTAAATTACTTACATGAGACTTCAAAAACGAGGTTTATCGTATTAAATTAGATTTATTTTTTAACAATTTTAGTTTAAGCTTACTTGTATACAAAAAATGCTTTTAGTTAACTTTTGTGACTATCTATCATACCTAAAAATAATTGGCTGTTGTTATATAATGACATCCTGGTCTATTAATATTAACATTTTTATACATTATATACATACAAAAAGGACGCGACAGAACAGTCTCCTCCGAAATGCCGATGTTCTCCATGTTGGGTTATTAGGTGGACAAATTTCTATGTTCACTGATCTATTTTATTAGGAGTATTATAACACATTTCTATATCCTGTCCGAAATAACTCCCGAATTCAAATCTAGGACTTGCAACAAGCCTAGGTAACGCATTTATAAATAGAGTTACAGAGGCAGAAAAAAAAGAAGTCTGAAGAAAATATATCATTTTTTCAGCTACTCAAAGGCCTCTTCTTGATTTCAATACCAGTGGCTTTCGGAACCGTTTTGATGGGTTGGGATCTACACCATCGTGAAGCTTCAGCATTTGAGTCAGCAGTATTCAATGCGTTGAACCAGAACTTCTTCGCGTTTGCTATCTGTATATTTATTGTCGGATACTTCTATAAATGCAATAGTAAGTTCGGTTGGAAAGTATTTTTATTCTTTATGATACAGGAGGACAGTTAAACACGGGGTTGATAAAAGAGGAAGTAAGCAAGCCATATAACATAATTCTCTGTCTACCTATTATCGCTTTGGACATTCAGAAATCCACAGAATGAACCGAACGAGATTAAACTTCACGGATTTTTCGCTTTTGGACGATTTCTACCACACATTTAGTATTATCCAGACATAGCCCAACATAATTCAAAAAAATTAAGAGTACCATGTTAAACCCCATGGGGATTAAACCCACGACCCAAGCCAAGCTTGGCTAGCATTCTAGCATAGCTAGCAACGAGCCTGATAATTTATTTAGCCCATATTTTATAGAGTTGATCTATAATGTTATTAAAGTTTAAATTTAGATCCTAATAACTTTTGCCTTCTGGGATATCTAGTTTTATTTGGACTGGATTCTCTAATAAAAACAAGAATTGCCAAATATTACAGTATCCCTACAGAAACACAAAAATATAGATTTTAAATATATTTTAGACATTTATTAAAGTAACACAAAACAAGTCGTTTCAAGGAGATTTATGAGAGATTTCTTGACAGAAGAACATCAGCAACGAGCTTCTTAGTAAATTTCATTTTCTTCAATCTTATTCAGTAAATCCACGCTTGAACTGACATAATACAGCAATTTATATTAGCCCTGACACGTACCGTTTAACATAAGGGTTCGATTCCCGTGCGAAAGATAGCGGGATTACTCCCGAATCCAGGATAACAATAAAAATGCGAGCGAAGGATTTTCGGTCTTGCGTTCTATGGTTTTAGGGTGATTATGGACAAACATTTTTTACGTTATTTCATTTTAAATATGAGATATATCTGAAATTTGTACTTCGAATGCTAATGGAACAATCCTTAGTAGGTTAGTGCCGTCTGTAGTTTGCGCAAGTGGCAGACATTTAATTAAAACACTTTAAGGGTTTAAAACTCGAAATATATTAGTTAAACTTGTTCCCCGCGACCACGGCCGCTGTAAAGCCTCCGAAACGTCGGGCCGTAGTTAAAATAATTTATAAACAAGTTCAACTAATATATTTCTCGTTTTAAACCGTTTAAGTGTCTTATTTAAATAGATTAGTATTTTTATCATTATAATTCTTACACATACATATAATGTCAAAGTGTTCATAGTCGTTATCTATAAGACGTATTTTTATACGTCTATAACATTGAAAATAGCGCATTCGTAAATTATTTTTGAGATGAAAGAAAATTCTTAGTTTTTTGTCATTTTCTTCTTAAAAAAAAGTCGCAAAAATGATAAATAAATCGCTTCGTTTGTATTTCCCCTTACCTCGGTCGTGTTCGTTCAACTTATTCACACGCCCCGTGTTTCTTGAGCTTGTACGTTAACACGTTTATTTATTTGCGTGCGGCTCCGGGTTTAGAAAATAAATCTTCTTTTTTATTAAATTTACTGAGTAGCTTTGTAAGGTCGCTTACACCATAAAAATAATTAACGTGAAGAGTTTGAAAGGCTTTCCGACCAAGAAATACGGGAAACACAATAACTTGATATACTAGCCTTCTCCTGTGTCTTTACTTTGTTAAATTTGTACTTTAGTTTCTTTATGATAGAGGACACGCATTTGATTGGTAGATGATAGAACATCTAAAAATGATACGTTGTCGGCTTTGGATAGTAAAAAATCACTAATCATGTTTTTTTCCAGAATTCTACGTCGGTTCAGTGGAATGGGGTCCGTTACAGCCCCTCGGAAGAATGTCCTACTGTGCTATGCTGGTACATGCTACTGTGCTCAGAACGTATGGTGGTCAAATGAGACGGTCTTTCTATGCTACAGACTATACAGCTGTGAGTACTAAATGCATTGTCTTTTATTTTTGTTATATAACATTACTGCCATAAAAAAATAAAGTACCTTAAAAACTAACTATGGGGATAGAGTGACGGAGTAGAAATAAATATATACTGTCTGTGTTTACGCGAGTAGTATACATTTCAATAAAACACTTTAACGGTTTAAAAGCGATTATTACGTTTGAAAACATTAATATTTTTCACATGTTATTGCACATGAAGGCACTATATAATTTAAAAATCGAAAATAAATTGAAAAAATTTTCGACTCGGGCAGGACTTGAACCGGCATCGTCAGCTTTCCGTGCTGTTGCTCTTTTTGACGATGCCGGTTCAAGTCCTGCCCGAGTCGAAAATTTTTTCAATTTATTTTCGATTTTTAAATTATACGCGATATATTAGTGAAACTTATTTGAAAATTATGTGTAACTTCGGCCCGACGTTTCGAATGCTTTGCAGCAGCCGTGGTCACGGGGAGACTGCCCGAAGTTAAAAATAATTTTCAAATATGTTTAACTAATAAATCGCGTTTTAAACCGTCAAGTGTTTTGTTTAAAAGAAATAAATATTTCAAATATATACCCTAGCTTGATAAGCTGTTCGACATATTCACACACTGACTGTGCCCGCGACTTCGTCCGCTCGGAATATTTAATTTGGGCATCAATATTTATTGTTGCCAACAACTCGACTTTATAAATAACAGCCGTTAACCACGGCTTGTTTGTCCTCCTCTATAATAAAAAAAACTCTACCACAAACCACTAATCCACACGAACGACGTCACGGGCTATAAGTAGTTCTAGAAATATCAGTTCATTTTCTTTATACTCCGTTATCTTATATTCGATACAACTTTCTTTTAAACCGCAATCCTTTCGATTCCCGATAACATCTTAATACAATGTTTAAGCAATACAATACGCAAATAAGTCGGTTATTCGTCGAATAAGTTGATCGAAGTTCTCAAGAAAATGCGATTCGAGATCTCTGATGTCGGGATAAGATTGTAGTATAAATTCCACTTTTAAGTAACGAGGAGGTTTGGGTAGACTAAGACTAGTTTCATTTACACACACACAATAAAGTTGATTTAAAGGCATGATTTTTATATGGAGTGTATCTCGTAATGATTACTAGGTTACATTTTTCAATATACCTAATTGAACCCTTGGTATAAGCGTGTAGCAAATATGGCTCTCATTCGCACTAATATGTAAATAATGATAATTTATAAATTCATAATAAATTATGATAACCAAATATTGTATCAGTAGTAAACATTATCGTTACACAAACTAATATGTAATGTGCTTATTTGAAACACACACCGTTCCAGCATTAATTAAAAAAATAAATTAACGTAACCTTTGTTTAATAATTGAGAAGATACCACAAATCCATTTAAACTGTTCTATTTTATTCTAATACTCTTGAAATCTTGTTTAATTTATTAAAAAAACCCTCACTTAGTATAGTATATTATAAAAAAAGATATTATCTTTCTTATTTTTTTTCGATTTTTAAATTATTAAGATAATATAAGTTTAATAATATGGTATATATTTTTTTTTAATTGTCATCTTTTGTTTCAGATAATGCTTTACGCTGGAATTGTGTGTACAACATATTTAGTATCACTTCCGCTTCATCTCTTTGTCGAAGCCCCGGCCTGTGCGCTACAAAAGATTTGGTTTGGTCCGAAAAGGTCCCCGAGAGAAGAAAAGACCACAGTAAAGCCCGGCGTTTCCAATGTGTCTGTATCCACTGTGTCCACACACATTTGAATTTAGAATTTTTACAGATGTAAAAAATACAAAAATTCTATAGAACTATCTTGTAAGTTTTTACATATCAAACGAGTTAAGTATAAAATAGATGTATTTTTATAGTTTTGTATTAAAGTGTATATAGAAACGATGTATTCGTTTTAGAAGTATTTTAATTCAGTCCCAAACGGTTTAATACATAGCACGTTCTGTGGGTTTACGAACACCTTTTAAAAGAAATAGTATTTATGGAAAATTCATGTAAAACACTTGAAAGTGAATGAAAAAGCGCGCACATAATTTAAGGGTGTTTCTTTTGTATACGGGACGCAAGTTCAAAATATAGTAGTTACAGTATTTTACAGTACAATAAACAACCCTTACTATCTATTTTTTTATACCTTTTTTTCCCACTCGGGACATTTGGTTCGTTCCTAAAATATGCTATACAGTTCGTACCCCAAGTTCGTTAACGTTCTTGGTAAAAATCTCTAACACCAAAAATAATAAAAACCTTAATTAAATGACATTATTCCGTATTGGTATACACATAACCCAGAAACAAACAAGTTCGAGAGAGCAAGCTACAGCACAATTATTATTGACAGAACAACTAAGTGTCACGTGAACAGTAACTCAAATATAACAACGCCAAATTTAATACACGCAGCGGTTTTGTACAAAAAGTTAATCATACTTAATCATTGCTCTAGATATATTTATTTACCTGATGTTTTAATTTCAGTGAAATAAAGTAAATTACTAGATTCGTTTTGAGCTTCAGTAACTATATACTGTCTAAATTGGTATAACATAATTATGTACTTTAACTAATCGTGTAATTCGTAAATCGTTAGATTTTAGATTAATTGTCTGAAATGAATACCTTAGAACAAACCTAATGACATATTATTCGTTACGTTTTGTTTTATATTTACTGAGCTGAAATATTAGACAATACTTAATTTTCAAAAGAAAAATAAATCTTTGTAAATCCCTACTGTAGCTTCGTATACTGTGGTACACAAATAGGCGAACTTCGCTTATTGCGTATTTGGCATCGTCCCAGCTAATACGGGTCAGCGTTGTTTATGCCCATATCCTGGCACGTGGTTAGCTGCTGTACAGATTTTGGGAAAAAATTATCAACGAATTAATACATATTCGGGTACCAAAGAGAAAACCAAATTGAATTGCTTTTTCAAGGAGCAGGTGAATAGACAGCATAAAAGTATTTTATATGGTATAGACCTGTGTACCTTGAGTCTGTAAATGTAATAATTGAGAAAAGGTCACTTTACCAATGTAAATATTCCCTTACCACAGACATAAGATACAAAAGAAGTCAATTTCAAAATTAACTTCAAATATTGCCACTAAACCTCACTAACTTATTTCTTACAAAAAGTTGCTTAGGCCACTTTGTATTATATACCATAATACACGGACAAGGAGCAACATTAGCATAAGCGTACAAATACTTTATGGTCTTCAGTTCCACTATTTCCATATGTAGGTTTAACATTTTTATTTTCGACGAATCACGAAATTCGTGTTACGAAAACTAATAATAACTACTTTAAAATAAATAAAATTAAAAAAAAGGCTCCTATTTGTTGTGGACTTGTGCGTCAACACACGGACCCAATTTTCAAAAATATCGCTACGTCTAACGACGGTCTAGAAGTAGCAGTGTATCACTAAAAATCAGCGTATAGTCTCTACTTGCTAGTTGTCTAGTTTTAGTACGGTGCGAGCCCTCGCCTTGTCACAAAGAGAAACGTATCGGACGCGGTTAGAAACTTCGTTCGAGTTTTCAAGATTAGATATCGTAGTAGGGGTGCGTCTTCCCGTGATAAAGTGCACACATAAAACTTTCTCTAATGACTCGTCTGTCATGACCACGCGCTATATATTCTGTGGGAGGATTTTTTAAGTAATCTTTATCTTTACTGCGTATTTTATTCAACCAACAGTTGGTTCACTTTCAAGGGTTTATTATATACATATATTTTTTTACGGTCTCGTTGGTGCAATGGTAAGTTAATAACCTACGGGTCGTGGGTTTGATACCCACCGGGTACAACATTTTATAATCAATGTATAAATTTTCTAAAACATGTTGGAGTTCGTCTGGAAATCTGGATATTGAATGGGTGGTAGGGATATGGAATTTTCCATCTGGGATGTTTAATCATGTTTCGGTTTCAGTCTGTGGATTTCCGAATTTCCAAAGCCAAAATGGGTTAACAGCGTATCTTGTTTAGATGCTATAAGCTGGGATATTTCACCTACCATCAAGCGAAGCCCTTGTGCTTGACTGTCCTCCTCTAACTTAAAAAAAATATGAGAAGCATTTTAAGTGTCGTTATTTCCAGTTTCTAGTAGTGACAAACAGAAAATTATATTACATTGACAGCAATCATGTTTTCGACTTAATATTTGATTTGATAACGATATTTAATTATTATATATTTAGAGTTAATAATAATGATAACAATAATTCCTTTGTATTTTACTAGGTAAAGGTACTAATATTATGTAGTTACATGATGCGACGACATTTCATTAAATTAATATAACATATCAGAAAATTATATAAATATTACAATTTCGAGTCAACAGAAACGTTTATATATTTTATGAACTATTTACAAAGGAATTCTAGGTTGTTAAGTTACTGTATTTTTAATATGATTGCTGAACGCATATAAATATATAATAGTAAGTATCTTTATGTACCTGAAAAAAATATTAAAGTGACCAGTGGCGGCTTTACCTTATGTGCGCTCGTGTTCTGAACCACCAATTAAAAAAAATTTACTTCATCTTTATTTTTAAATTACCATTCTAATATTTATTATATAGATATACAAATACGTATAAGAATCAATTTCCAATTATAGTGAAACAGTTTGAGCGCTTTTCTAAACTATCGAGAAGATTTTTCCTGTAAAGACAAATTGTACAATATAACTGTAACTTGTCACGCGTCAGGCGTTTCAACGCATACTCGTACCTCATGTATAAGTCAAAACACCTGACGTGTGAAACAAAAGCTAGTTCATAGAAATGTGCTGAGAAATGAATCGGTTCTCAAGCAGGCCGAAGATACCCGAGAGCACCCGATGTTGTCGAATTTTAAGAAAAATGTGAAAAATGTAATTCCATTGATTTAATGTTTTAAAGAAACATATTTTATGTCTACTGTTGTGTTGTTGAATTTCGTAATTGTAATATTTGGCAAGTACCTAAGTAAAGTTCACCACCAATTTCATAAAACACCAGCCGCCACTGGCGAAGTTGGCGATACTACACCTTCAGTGGCGGTTAGCGATAGCTGGGGCAGTTGTTCTCTATAACGATTATTTAAAATAAGAATAATATTTGTAAAATCTTTAAAATAAATGTTGTTCTTATTTCAAGTACTTAACGCCTAAACGATTCGATCTTGAATTCTCAGAACTCAAACTCTTTAGAATCCAACTCCGCAAATTCTAGATTCTTAAGCAGAGCTCGTTCGGTCAAGCTATGTTCACGGATCATTGGTACATCCATTTTTATTCGTTCCATTTATAAGATTACCCTCGATATTTCTAAACGTACTTCCGTTCAGCCGTTTCCTGTTTTATGGACGATCTTGCTGCATAATATCCGTTCAGCGTTGGAATGTGGGTTACATTTTTATTGGTTTAAGGTTCTCTATGACATTTGTTGAATCTAACACTTCGATTTTGGTTACGTTTACTTTTATGTCTGTAGGTACTTGTGACCGCTCCTTGTCCGCATAGAAAGGTTATTTTAGGTATCAAAAATTGTTTTTTTAAACCTCTATAGTTTGCAACATCATCTCATCTTTGTAACTCGTATGTTATCCACGACATCTCCCGCGCCCCATTGTTATTGCGTGTTTATCTTATAAGATAGATATACAATCGCGGACATTTTTAGATCGTTTAGTTAGATATCAATCTTTCATACATATATTTTGGTTATCTTAAACCATTTTTGCAGCACACTTAACGGAAACCAACAGTTATTAATATTTTTCCATAATTACCACTGTTTCTTCTCTCTCTCTAACCAACACGAAAATAATTTTTCAATTCAAACCTGAAGTTTAGAGATTAGCACGTTCAAACAAGCGAATAAACAAACTCTACAGATTTATAATATTAGGATAGATATCGTAAGTTTATTTACAAATACATATTATTTTGCTATATAATTAAAATTAAAAAACAACCGAAGAAACTAATTGAATAGCTATGGACTGTTCGTTCGTGTTTTGGTTTGAGTTTGTGTATTTCTGAATGTCTAAAAATGTTTTTTTAAGTACTATATGTGAACATTTCTCAACGTATCCCCTTTGTATCCCCATAAGTGGGATTTACTTATTCTAGTAACTACAATCATAACTTACTTCACACAATCACGGTAATAAAAATAAAAATATTCAAATACGATATACATAAAAATTTGTTTCTCGCATATGAGTAGAACTTTTAAATTCAACTTGAGCTTAGTCAAAGAAAACGCTATTCCACAGTTAACATAAAATCAAAAGTCCAAAGTGGAATTATTTATTCAAAACTAACTCAAAGCGGCAAAAAACTCGTTTCAGCCCCCGTTTTTAATAAACTTTTGCGAATTCGTCCAGAGGCCTACGAAAGTTTCAAGTTATTAATATTCTACGGCATGACAAAGGAGTATCTTTGGAGTTCCGTGGAAACGGAATGCAATATCTTCAAAGCCTTTGCGAGGAAATAATTTTTCAAACACTAAAATAAACTTATAAAGTCTTTTACTTGAATGTCAGAAACTTTACATATCAATTGATTACTCTGAGAGATTATTTTATAGGCGGATTAAACCGATCTACGCCTTAAATGGTCTCTGATGTGAAGTACAGCCACCAGAACTTCAGGTCGAGGACCGAGCCACAAATAGATTATTTACGCCACTTAAAAAAAATCAATAGCTTTTCTATTTTCTCTGAAATATACGCAAAGATTTTT